CAGTATAATTACAATCTCTTGTGTCTGAAACGTCATCAGAATTCGAAGTTCATGCCCAATACATATGTTTTTCCTGGAGGAGTGACAGATCCATCCGATGCTGATTTAAAATGGCACAATCTTTATTCCGCTTTCGGTTTTGATACTAACAGTTTTACATCTCTGAGTATAAATACTTCAAATCGTCCTCAAATTTTCAAATTTAGACCAAACGAATTGCCAAAAGAAGTTTCATTACGAATTACTGCAATTCGTGAGACTTTCGAAGAATGTGGTATACTTCTTTGCAAACAATCGCAAGACGATAAGCGAGAAGATTTTGGTTGGGCACAATATATGAATAGTAATTGATTTACATATAACAATCATTAGAATAAAATCTGTTTTATTAAAATAAATGACAATTATTCTTATTTAATTATTTTTCCATGTCCAGTTTCTGAAAGTGAATTATACAATTGGCAAACAAGGATACACAACGATGCTAGAGAATTTTATACATTATGCGAAAACTTTAACTGTTATCCAGATCTATGGTCCCTTTACGAATGGAGTAACTGGTTAACACCAACTTGTTTTACTGAACGTTATGATACTGCTTTCTATTTGGCTTGTGTTTCAACTGTGCCTCGAACTATTTGTGAAGTCACAGAAATGGAAGATTTGAAAGTAAAATTGTTTTAATAATGAGTCAATATAATGTGGTTGATATATATTAGAATTATATATATATATTTTAATTTAGTGGGATATGCCCGGAAATTATTTATTTTCATCTCCTGACGTTGTATTTCCTCTTCCACAACAGTATGAAATTGCAAGAATAGCGAAGTTCGAAAGTATACACAACTTACTAGATTTCTCAATTGATCGTAGTAAAATGGGCGTACTCTTAAATTTACCGGTATGTGAAAGAATTTTCAAAAACACTACTTTAATGCTTAAAAAGTGATCTTGATAATACATATATTATTAGGTACAGATAGAATTGCAAGATGGAAAAGTGCTCGTTTTACCAGGAGACTCAATGTATCCAGATAAAGTTAATTTGCTTGAGAAACAAATTATTAAAAAAACTGATATCACTATTTCTGAATTTCGAGATATATCACCTGTAAAAAATAGAATTGAACTTTTCAATCTCCAAGTGAAAGAACTTTACGTTCAAAATTTTGATAGTGCTGATGGCCATTTGGCTCCTCTTCAGTTAAAAAATGTTTCTACTACAATGACACATGAAAATTCTAAATTATAATAAATATATTTAACAATGTACAGTTCTCTTTTAATGTACATTTTTATCAAATGCTATTTGTAAGAGTCATATTTTACTGTACTAAGCTATTAACAATTATATACTAATTTTTAATAAATATATATTAATATATTGGTTTGTTATAATTATTTCGCAATAAACATATATATAAATAATATATATATATAAATATTTCGTAATGAATGTATTATTTATTTCGTTGAAAAATAGCGGGAAAAAAGCGCGGGAAAGGTAGTAATATAGTAATGGCTGCTATAGTGTTTAGGTGCTTTAACAAAAATTAAATTAGTAGTAGACAAATAAAGTATTCTTAAATAGTTACGTATTTTTCCGTTTGTAATTTTGCCAATTGTAATTACTATATAATATTTAAAAAAAAAA